CAAACGAGCATTGTAGAGATACCATACGCACGTTTATAAGAATAAAAATTATTCTTGACATAGCTGGGACTACGCTCGGTTCTTATAAATGTACCATCGACAAATCCGACGCATGACTTGAAGTGGCTTCTTTCGCCTATCTTCTTTGATATATGTTCCCTTTCTTCTGCCGCTGGCCAGTAAACATACTGATCTTCTTTAGCCAGAATTGCATTTATGGTTCTCTTGGTGTAATTGATCACAGTACCTTCTACTTTTAATGTTAGATCATAATAAATCTGAGCGTTTTTTTTGTCATACCAGAAACACCAAAGTAATCGGATACCTGCGTGATTGAAGCAGCATTTCCTTTACATCCCAATCGATGAAAAGTGATCAAGAAATGGAGCTCAATTTTCTCTTTCGTGAAGTTCTCGAACTCCTCATAATCACCAAACGCTCTGACTGCGTCTTTGAAGGCTTCTTTACTCATCCTTATTTTACTCTTAAAGACACTTTCTCTACCTTCGTTTAATAAATCGAGATATGTGCCAGTACGAATACGAGTACCCCAGTTTTTTTTTACGCTGTATCTTTCGGTTTGTAAAGCAAGGTAAAAAGCTGCCATTGTTTCCAGATTCTGTTTTGTCATTGCGATTATGCGACGATCTACTTCGGTCGACTTGGTTTCTCGTTCATATTTTGTAATGAAGAAAAACAGCATTTTTTTAACGTCTTCCATGAGACGTTTTTTAGTTGACAAGAGAGGCATAATAATAATAAAAGTGTTGTTGAAGTGGAAAAGACTAAAGTAATAAATTATGTCATGCTTGATAGCCTTACATCATGTAACGAAATACCAAAATGTTATTGGACGAAAAAAAAGCTGGAATTAATTTTTATTTTGCTGGAGCACTTTTTGCTCCAGCAAATTTAAGAAATCACAAAAAGAAATCGGAAAATGCTTGGCCAATAGAATTTATCTAAAATTTGCTGGAAGCTGGAACCTGGAGGCTCGATTTTATTTGAGCGTCCCTACTGTGTCATACCAATAGGAATGTATTCGCAATATGGTACTTATAATACATAGGTTATATGTATTATAATTGAGTGACAAGATAAGAGTAATTATATTCGTGGAATTAGGCGTCAAATACGACAATGATGTTAGTTCAATTGCTAAAATTAAAACTGGTAATGGTATGGCGTACATTAGGGCGATTAAATGTTGTATTTATTCTCTGTTCCTGTCACCTTTGTTAATAAAGGGACAGTTGTCTAATTCGCAGTATAAAAATTCGATGATATTTGTTGACGCGATGCAGGTCATGAGTATGCCCAATGTCAATGTAGCGGATCTTTAAAAATGTCATTGAAAGATGGTCGACGTTCCAAATGATTCCAAACGTTGTATAGGAAACGAAAGTTTATACAGCAATGGGCACTACCACACTTATTTGCTTCTACAGATATTAGATTTTGGTGCTTTTCACTTCCATCACGCGTTCAACAAGGAGCGGTACGATTTGGATTTGAACTCTACCAAGACAAACAGAAAGAACATGGAACGAACTTTTACTAATATATATTCGGTACGGATAATGATGTCATGAACCACGTGGTCAATACCTTAATGCATACGCGCATACATCCACCCCCGCATAGGTCTGCATGTATATGCAGATCATATTTAACAGCTCATGTGACTAAACCATCAGACACCACCACGAGACCGATCACGAGTCATCACCATGGGATAACGCCTCAAGACCAAACCAACATACGCCACCACCCTCGTCCCATAATCCCGCCACAGTACCTCGCCTCAAGCCCTTCCCCAAGGCCTTAACTCAAGACCCTTCACGATAAGAAGATAGTCCTTAAGACTATCTTCCTTTGTTTATAAATACCTTAGATTATTTAGACAAGTACAGATCTTTATCTGATATCTTGTATACCTTTTGTGGTATTTGACAAAATATTACAATGAAAAAGTAATAAGAAAAAAGTATATCTTTATTCGAGGTAAAAATAGACTAAAAGAACTCTGCTGCGATGAAATAATTGATCCTTTTTATATTGAACAACTTCCCCTGGTAGTTGTGTTGAGTCAACCTTTCTGGTCTTGTAATAAATCCATACTCAGTTTCCCGCCTTACATTAAATGAATTCTACTCGTTAGAATTGATTTCAAATAACGTCGCCCTGAATCAACCGATCTGGGACACTCTTATTGTTCTGTTTAAAATACAGAATTCCATTAAGATATTGTGTAACGGTGGCTAGTTAAAAGATGCATAAGGTTTTTGTGTTTAATTGGCTGTGGTAGAACATGTAGTTACAGTAGTGCTAAAAACTGTCTCACAAAAACTAAAATTAATATCATATGGCGAAAAACAATGATACGGATTCCAAATTTTAAAGAGTAGTTGTTAATGACAGTTAATTATTTATTTTGGTAATTGGAGCTATGCTATTTAAGGCAACATGTAAACAATCACAGAAATGTTACTTTTAGGTCAAAAGAAGAGGGACGATGTTTATTTTAATATTTTGTATAGCCACCTTTTGCTTTAATAACTGCCTCGATTCTTTTGGGAATACTTTCGTAATACCTTTGCATATCCTCTAAAGTGAAACCATTCCATTCCTTTTCGAAGCGGTCCCACAATTCATCTATATTCCTTGGCTTAGTCGAATAGCTGTCTAACTTAACTTTTATGTGGTGCCAAAGGTGTTCAATGGGGTTCAAGTCGGGACTATTGGGTGGCCAGTCTCGAATATAATTGATTTTATTTCTTTCCAACCATTGCTTTGTAATTTTGGAGGTGTGCTTCGGATCTCCGTCTTGTTGGAAAATCACATCCGTACCGCGTAATCCGTAATAATCAAGTGTGTCCTTGTATGTTGTGCCCAGAATGTGAGTATACAGCTCGGAATTCATTGGGTACTCCACTATGCGGCATGCGTAGCCTACTCCAAGTGATGTCATACATCCCCAGACCATTATAGAGCCGCCAGCACCTTTCAATCTTGTTTGAATATTATGAGGCTGCAATGAGTCATCTTTATGTTTCCAAGTAATTTGAGCTCCATCAGATCCCCATCTGTTTACTCTTGTCTCGTCCGAGTAGATAACTTTTTTCCAGTCATCTACCGTCCAGTCTTTATGTTCTTTAGCCCAAAGAAATCTTTTTTTATATTGACATTGCTAATGGGTGGTTTTTTTTTCTTGAATGATGATTTAAGATCAAGAGATCTCATTAAGTAAGTGGTCGAAGAATAGCCGTAATTGTAACCAATCTCTTGCAAATACTTCTGAACATCCTTAGCTGTAGCTAGATAACCCCTTCGAACTTTAAAACTAACTACTTGTTTAGTTCTCTTAGGAATCAGACTTGGTGGGCCACCATTACATTGCTCGCGATCAGGATCATTCACATTTTTCATTCGAATAACTTGAGCTCGGGATACTCCTGTTGTTTCAACTATTTGTTTAGTTGTTTTTCCACTAGCAATAAGGGACTTCACGTTGTTTCGGGTGTCTTGGCTAAGTTTTTTAGGCATTGCAAGTAGAAATAATACGAAAATAACAGTAAAACATTGTTGTGGGAAAAACACGTTTTTTAGATGGGATTTTTATAGCATATGGCTATCAAAGTCCTAATTGGATGACAAAAAAAGTTTGGGGTAAAGCCCTTATTTGGAAGCCGAAAAAAGTGTCCGTAAAATGCCATAAACAGAAACAATTTCATGTGAAAAAGACGTTTTCTATGTTTGTAGTGCATGTAACACCGGCAAAAACGTCTAACTACTGTGTAACGTGTCAATAACATCCCTCTTCTAGGAGCATTTTTAATTTTTCGAATACTGTTGTTAATGCGGATTTTATCGTCGATGTAAGTTTTGTGAGACAGTTTTTAGCACTACTGTATGTCTGATCATTTATCCATTCTGTTGATTATTTTTATCTAAGACATGGGTAAATATGTGATCCTAAATATAGAACATCTTATCGATGTTTGTATATTTAGTTGTAGAAAATAGGCATCCAAATATTCCATGAACTACTTCTCTTATACACTTACAGTCGTATAAGTTGTGTTTATCAATGTATAAGTAAATAAACCATTTATATAAATAGCTGTTCTATTCTCTCTATGGGTAGCTAATCCATTGAGAGAACTATTAATATTAAGTTTCTCTTTCTTATATTTCTTGATTTGATCGGAGAAGCTTCTCTTCCCGATCGGTGATATCGTAACTCAGTGGTATAGAATTCTTTATCCAACTGTCATTTGTATATCGATTTTAAGCCAATCATGCAATCTTTTTATATAGAAATATGTACTCATAGTAGGAGTCGTTGTGTAGCAGTATACAGGTGTATGTTGTTACTCAATATTAAAGGATGTTTTTATTCCATGTTTTTATTTTATTCGATTTATTTGTTTATTCTCAAATAAATCATACCCAAATACGACACCTTTATTATTATTGTTATATAAACCTTTAGCTCTACTACCTTTTCTTGTCTGTCTTCTCGCAACCATATAGTCCAACCTTGTACCTAGCCTTGCCTTGTAAGTATAAAGAGACCTGTCCTCGTACCTAGTAACATCCGGCTAATTCCTGAAAGATGAGGTATGATGTGTGTCATATGACGAGAATAAAATTTTCGATGTTACAAAACAGGAAATTAAAAGTTAAGAAAAAGATAATGAGGACGTATTTGCAGGTCGCTTATTTGAGTCCCAGCCACAGGTCCCCAGCTATTTCGGGACTTCAGCTAAATAAGGTCAACAGGATAAATAAATAAAAAAGGCAATTTTGATTCTTGCATTTGACATTAATCTCGATATTCTTCCCTACTTTTGCAGAACACCGATTGCATATGGTTTTAAACAGTATAAAAGACCCTTTTACTTTTGTAAAAATAAAATAAAAAGTATCCATTTTTTAATAATATCTCTTTTTAATCGATTTATCGTGCTAAAAATTCAACTAACTCTGCCTCTGGAGCCAGCAGCTCTACCAGCGAGGGAAATGGATCTGTACAATATTACATGGCTAGATCCCTTACTTTGACAGCTCAAGAAACATTAGCTTGTCGACCAATGACCACAAAAAAGGCATATGTATCCAAGACCAATGAATGTATAAAGTGGGCAAATGAAACTTTCACTGATGAAAACGAGCTGGAAAGAAGCATTGTATCTGGTACAAAACTTAACTACTTTTTACGTGATTAGGTAAATAAAAACATTATTATTGATACATTACGTCATATCAGAGTATTTACAAAGTGTATGTAATTATAGGTATTGGGCCGTAACTCTCGCCAGAAGTCCAAACTTCCTACAGCCCCAAAAAAAATTAAAACATCAACTTTTGAGCAATATATCACAGCAATCACGGATCTTTACAAGACCCAAGTTCAAAAAAAGATCAATTATAATGAGCATCCAAGAGCAACTGTTTTAGGCTTGATTAAAATTTCAAAAATGAAAGAATTTGAAGTGTCTCGTGAAAACTGTGAGGATCGTGGAGAGGGAACTTTAGCTGATGGTTATAGTTCTTTGGACCAAGTCTCAAAAATTGTTCAGTTTTACTTAAATGGACAACGAAACCACAGAGAGAATTTACGTAATGCATTGGCTTTTTTATTTTCTCACTACTTTTTGTTGAGAGGAGAATCGATTAGAAATGCCGAATTGACCGATTTCCAAACGATTAACTTGGATTCTGAAAGTTTTTGACCTGATATCAAGTGTCCTGCTTTAGTCATGATATTAAGACAAGAAAAACGAAACATAAATAATCGTCTTGAACAGACAGGCTGTATCCGTAACACCCAAGTAGAAATTTGCCCTATTATGGTTTTTGGCTTGTATTTATTCTGGAGATTTCATGTTCAATACGAGTCTTTTCCTGATTTCACAACTTCTGAAAATTGGTATAGAATCAAGTTATTCAAATCAAGTGACTCTGATACAACTAAAGTATGGGCTTATGCCAGCCACCGTGATGCAGTAGCCAGAGGATTAGAGGTGGCCCAAATATTTACTAAGAAAAAGACACATATTAATCGTGGATATGCAGCAAGAATGGCCGACTTAGCTGGAGTAAATGAAGAACAAATCAGGCGCCTAGATAGATGGAACAATACAATCATGAACGGTGCTTATTTGACTGGATTACCAAGAGAGGTAATGAGGGTGATGGCCAGATGCACTGTTCAGCAAGGTTCGTTAAAAACATATCATTCTTTTTCAATAAAATTAACCATTTCAAAATCAGGACAATATTATTTACCAAGAGCTAGTGTTGATCCACCTGAATCTCTTTACAAAATGATCTTTCCTGATCTTGACGTATGGCACAATAGATTGACAGCAAAGCAAGCAAACTCAAACAACGGCGACGGAATGGAAGTAACTGTTGCAACAAAAGCTTTCTTTGAACTTATGTTTATGTTAAGAAAAACAATCATTCATGATGCGGTTTTTATGATAAAGAAGTTTCCTACTCACCCACTTTGGCAAAGTAGTCTGTTTTCGCATGAATTGTTTACAGACTACAGGGAGTAAATTTAAATTTTTACAATAATCAATAGGATATAATGTACTCATAAAAAACTTTTTTCTACAGGCGCATGCTCATCGTTGCCCAAGGAGAGAATGATCCTGTCAATGCTTTGTTGCAACGCTGTGTGCCAATTTTGGAAAACAAAATTAAATGCATGCACCATGATCTTTCGACACAATTAGATACACAATCGGCATCTCAAGAAAAGATTATATATTATATTACCAGACTTGTTACAGGCCAAGCGAGTATAAGGCCTGAGCATTAGTCTACCTGGAGGATCAGGGGAGGATCAGGGTAGAACAAATATCACTACAACAGCCATACCTCAACAAAGCGAATCCAATTCATTTTCCGGCAGTAATGCGATGGATCATTTACAGACCTTTCATGGACAATATCAACAGTAATGCTTGTACCCTGTTATCGTATGAGTCGAGGAATTGTTTCCGTCAATGATTTGTGGCGTGAATGGACAGAGGGTCTATGTGGCGGTCATGCAATTAAGGATTTGGAGAGAAGATGGGGTACCAGATGGAGAAAAGAAGAAAAAGAAAAAAAAGTTTTTAACAGACGTCGATTAATAATAAACGAAATTGAACGATATGCAAGCCAAAACAATATCACTACCAGAACAGCAGTAGACATTGCAGAAAGAAGGAGATCACAAAAAGGATATTCACTACACTCGCTGTCAAAAAATATTAACAAGATATTTGAAACAGAAGGCAGTGCTGACCCAAACCAAATGTTAGAGTAGCTTTTTTTTTTTTTTTTTTTTTGTCACATATAATAAAATACATATTTCTTTATTTTTCTGTTTTCGTCATTGTCAAATGCACAAGGCATGTCCACATTACTATTCCCACCAACTGTTTATTTCAAAGAAAGTAACAACATATCACTTTAGGATAGCATAATATGCAAATAATTAAATCAAGTTATCAGGTCACATTCTAGGGACTTGATCCGTAAATAAGTGCAATTATTTATGGCCATTTTTTTAAATAAGTCAATTTATTACCGCTCTGAGTTCCAATTAGGTGGGAACTTTGAGACTTTACAGGACTTTGAACAAAGATAATGAAATTTAAATCAATCAAAATTCTATGACAAAAGCACAATTTATCTGAAGCAACCTCTATTAGAGGAAGTCATATACGTGATTCATATAGGGGTAAAACTAACCATGTGCTTCTACCTGCTCAAATTCAATTTTTATCCGTCGCTCTTTATCACAAATGTGTGCTAAAACCACATAATAAATGCTACTGTTGTTACTGGCAAGTTTCAGTAAAATTAATAGAAGAAAATAAAAATAGAGATTAAGATAAAAGTTCTTAAAAAGTGAGCATCAGACTATATAGTTGTCCACTGAAAAAGATAAAATATATTTATATAAGAGGGTAATTTATACGACGAAATTAGATAAGAGTGGTATTCGAAAGAGTATAGGTAAATACGCAATGGAATAGCTACAATGCTGATTTTACAGAAGGAAATTACATGCAATTATAATAAATACAAAATCACAAAGACTTAAAGTATTAAGACTTATTCAGATTAAAGTAAAGAACAAACTAATTATTTTATTATGAATTTTTGGGGTCCTTTTATAAGAAAAGGTCCGAAAAGCAGCCAGAAAAAGAAAGGAATCTGAAGTCTAAAGGAACAACAGAAGAAGAAAAAGGTGATGTAACACTGTCTAAAAAAGGAAAGATGTTTCACGGATAACAGATCGGGAATAAGTAACCCGGCTTCATGGAAATTTCTTCGTTATAACACAACTCTAGGCTCCGACCAATGAGAGATCAGAGAATTTAAGGAACAAAAATAAATCAAGAACAGCTATCTTACGATCTTCAATAAACCAAATGAATGGTCCATCATATAAAACTGCGATGGATCTGAGCTGTCAAAAATGCAACCCACAATATCTTCAATCTTCTATAAATATTAGGGCAAACCTGCCCTTCTAGTTAGCTCTTAATCAATTTTTATACAAATAAATTGACAAGACTTATAATTGTATTCTTTTGTTTTTTTATCTATTTTTTTCTGAAAAACTATTCTCTCTTAAAGTCTATTTTAACTACAGCATGGATACTGATGACATTTACCTTTGCTTACGTTCGTTGGTACAAGAACATGCCCTCTGGTAGTCATGTTACAACATTTACTTCAATTAATTCTTCTTACTATATGTATAGATTTTTTTTGGATAGATCGTTTATGGATATTCTTCCGGTACACTGCATATGTTAAACATGCGGCAAAAGCGTTATTCACTAGCTAATTTAAATAAAGTCTTCTAAAGTCGATGAGACACAAATGAAGGATCTTTGTTAATTTGATAAAAAGCGAAGAAGGATCTTAATTGACCGGGATAGCTTCTTTGTAATTACTGCGGATTCTTAATATAGTAACTGTACGATCTCGAGATGGACGTCATCAGTAAAATTATGACAGTACTGAGATTTCATCTCATACGAATATTTGCTTAAGAGAGAAGATTATACATATCAAGTGTTCATATCTTCTCAAATACAACACAACAGTTGGTGTTTATATTGAAAGATTTGATGACATTAACGTCATCATAGATTTACCCAGGGCTATTTTGGAGTAAGTTTGTAAATAATGACTGATATTATTATGCAATAAATATGAAATAATAAATTATGTTTATCAAAATGGTTTTTTGGAAAGATTTGTTTATTTATAATTTATTGAAACCCCAACTTGGCAAGATTTCTCTATCTGAAGGAGAAGCATTCTTTAGAATTTTCTTTTGGACTCTCTTTTTGACAAGCCCGTGATGGGGTTCTTATTGAGGGGGACGTTATCAAGTTTTGCAAAAAGCTGGTTAAGGTAAGTGAAGAACATATGAACTTTTTGTATCCTATCTAATCTCACAGTAAAAACGTATGGTAATGTTTCTCCAAGATGGGGTCCTGACAGCAATCTTTTTGGCTTGATTGCTGCGATTATTGTATTCACCGTTTCTCTCGTCAGACATGTATGCCAAATGAAAAAATTTCTGCGCCTCCACAATAGACATGATAAACTCTTTGGCAATAGTGGTGTCCAAAATTGACCAAATTTGTACCCGGATCTCGAATTTCTGAAAATGGATGGTTGGTTAGCTATTGTCTCCTTTGTCTTTTTAAATTTATATAATGACTCTAGCCTTTCCGCTTTTAACTCGGAGGACCCAAGCCAAGGCCCTTTTATTGGCCGTTTTCTGGTGACAAAGGCACTTCTTTCGCAAAGCGGTGCAGTGGCTTCTACACACAGATTTCAACCAGGCATACATACCTGGCAGTACAAGCTCGTGCTGATATAGCACGTTATTAGTAACATACTGCAACATACCACTCGTCGTTTTGATAAGATCAAAAATATCCCTGTTGCCGCCGTTTTTGAAATCATACAGGCTAGGTCAAAAGTATACATAGGGTTACGCATTTGACGTCCGAAAATCTGTACTATATTTTTCGTTTCGCTACAGTTAATCCAGTCAAATAAAAAACGGAGAAGATAAATACGTTGAAGTACTGAGTTTTAGGATGCGATCAACGGCGTATCACTTTTACGGGTTATATGTGCTTAATTTGAATACGAGCTTCCAAAGCCTGGGTAAATGCCGTGTATGTATCGAATTCAATTCGACTGACAGGAACTTAATCACCTTGAACTTGACAGCGAGAGATTTTGTGCTTTTTCTAATGTGTAGCTGTTTTTGCTCATCTTTGTTTTAACATAGCCAAGATGGATGAAATACGTTAAAATATAGGCTGTGGGTGAAAATGTAACATTTAGGGTTGATACGTCAATAACATTTTCTTTTCTGTTACGTCGTCTCACATGTCGTATTCTGAAAATGGTTTTAGCTGCAGCCTCCAGTACAGCATAATCTTCGTATATCTTTTCTTAATGTTGCAGACCATTGTGGTTGTATCTTGCCCAATGTTTGTGTCATTACAGCCTGTCGTCGTGGGTGGTCATTCCTTGATAACTAATTGTCAAGAACCAGTACGATCTAAAAGTACACGTAACGGTCTTACGCTTAAAACTCGCATAGCTCTTCGATATTTCCGATTCAACTAGACATGTCTATTTCTAATATAAATTATTGCTTAATCTACAACATGTACAAATCACAGTGATCCCTGTTTCTGAAGGGTTCTCATTCAATGTTTTGCAACTGGCTTTCGGTTTACGTGGGTTAAAAAATAGCGTTATCCTCACCATAATTTCTCAACAAACTCTACTATGTTTCATCTCGTGCACTAAAATGCTTTCACTGTTTTGCAGCTGCTTTAGAGATAGTCATGTCCTTCTTTGTTAAATGGCTTTCATTCTAGTCATTTGATTGAGTCTTGTCGCTTCGACCTTATTGGGTAAAACAAATGTTCTTTCTTTCTATTTCGCTAAACAATTATATTGATAGGTAACAGTTTCTCCCTGGTCTCTTGCCAAGTTATGTCGTCTCTCTTCTAGCAAGCAAATCCAGAAAAAAAAGTCTCGTTTTCTTGAAGACTGGGCTGAATTATGGAATGTATTTCATTCGGTTTGCTTCATCCCAGTCAGATTAAGACTTTAGTGCTTTTTTTATTTGTAAAAAAGATACAAGTTTTAGATGCTTTATTTTGTTCACTCTTTAATTTTTACTGTTCTTTTTGTGAGTAGATGCAAGAATAAATATTTCCCTATTATACATCTTGTACCCTTTCATTTCATTTGTTTTAGGCAATGACTTTGCGGTTGTCCAAGTGAGAAAGTCGTACATTTATTCCTTACGATTCGAAATAAAAAAACTTGATATTCAACGGATATTAATTTCTAGTTCAACCGAATGCTTTTTGTACTGACAAGGCTTAGAAGATGCCGGATATTTTTGGCAACTAAGATCCTTTTCTTTCGTTGAGGCTAAATTAACATTCTAATTTCCAGTCAACGAGGTAAAACATATCCTGGTTTTTTTATTCTAGACGTTTTTGACAGGCACCTCTTTTTGCTCTCTGTCTTAACTATATAGTTCTTGCATCTCCGAGGTTAACAGCAAATAAACACCAACTATATTTGCAAAAGAAAACGTTGATTCTTTCATTTTTTAAAAATATTTCTATAGTCTTTAAATGGAAAGTTAATTCTGGCGGCAGGCTGAAACTATGGATTTTTCAATTTATAAATCGTTATTACGTAAGTAATTTAAATTCCAAAAAATTATGTAGGATCCATTTGATTTTCATGTAATAGCAAAAAAAAAACTAGCTGCTTATGAAGATTGGAGAGAAGTTCGGTAGACTCATGAAGCCGAATATAGAAAGTTTGATTAGCAAACTGGTAATTAAGGCAATTGATTCACGTCGTACAACAAATAAGTCTCTATCTGAACTCTAACTCGGCACAGTTTATGATCAAATACCCTCACTTTTTGAAACGGTTATTACGAACGGTTTCCGGGGCATAAAAAAATAAAACTAAAAACATTGCTGATTCGCAATTTGATTTTAACAACATCATTCAATTACAACAAAACCAGAAAGAATGATTCCATAATGTTTGCACGTGAAGCTTCCAAAATTAATGTAAATAACAAGAATGTTTATTTTTACGCCTTTATTTTTTGTGAGCAACAAATTTGGTTATATTTTTTTCGGAATACAAAAATCAAGACGTCATCATTTTCTCGTGCGCAGCAAATTTTTTTTTAACATTGGTGATTGCCCTTTTTTTTATTTTTTTCCTTCTTCTTAAATCGATCTTGAAAATCAGTATGCTCCCGTACATTCTTAATGACGAGTAAGTTCAATGCAAATGACTAAATTATATAAATAAGATTCTAATTTTGACATTGAATAGTTTAATGTGTGAACTCACTCACCTGGTGTTATTCTATTTGGCTTTCCCTTGGTTCTTCGTCAAGTTTGGGGTCTTTTTCCTTTGGAAAAAAATTAGTGGCTTCTGCGATCCTGTTCGTCTTTTTAGAAATTGTTTTGGTGCAAAGAGACGAGACCCACCAATTGCCATCGGAGATGTTTATGTCAAGGTGGGTAAAGACATTTTACTCCTTGACGATGTCAAAAAAAATCCGGCTTTGTTGTGTCCTTCTCCTTCGTCTCTTGCCTGTCCTTCTGCTCCTGTCGCTGCTTCTCCTGTCGTTGGTTTACCTCCTGTCGCCTCCGTTTCTTCTTTTCCCCCCCTTAAAAAGACGGAACAAATTTGTGTTTCTTTAGATTGCGCTTGGGTCGCTGGTGGCCCTTGTACCGGACGTGGTTTTCTTCCTCCCTTGCTGCCTCTTTGCCAAAGCACCTCGGCTTCTCTTTCTTTTGCCTTCGCTTGCGAAGCAATTACGGATGCCTGGATGATTGCGAATCCTTCTGCTTGTGTCTTTTCTTCCTCCTGTCCTCCTCCTTTGGTAGCTTCTGGCAATACAGGTCAGGCTACCTCCTCTTCTTTTGGTTTTGTGGTTTCTTCCCCTCTTGGGGATAACGCAACTCCGGCGGTTTCTTCCCCATTTGGGGATAACGCCTTTTTAGCGGTTTCTTCCTCTGTTGAGGATAACGCTTCCCTTCCTGCTGCTTCTTGTGCTTCGGTGGAGCCTGTTGTCTCTGGTGGTTCTCCACCTTTGTCACTTTTGACCTCGGTACCTGCTTGTGTTGGTTGGCATTCCTTCCCTTCTTCTGCGGCCTCGTCCCCTCGTCCGGCTTTTTCTGACTTTCCTTCGTTCCCTGCTTCTCCTGTGTTGCCGTCTGCTCCCGGCTCTCCTGCTTCTGCGTCGGCTCCGGCCTCACCCGGTTTGTCTTTTGCTCCCTTTGCTTTGTTCGGGGTTGAAATGACTCCACCCTCCTCTCCTTCCCGTAGTTCTTCTGTCTTGTCTCCTCGTGCTTTCTCCCCTCGTCGTCCCGCTTCCCGTTCTGAGGAAGAAGACGATCGCGATCATAAGAGAATGCGCTCTCGCATGTAGTTTTTTTAAATAAATTTATAGTGAATATATGAAGTAGTGCAAAGTATAAGGCAAAGTGTGTTAACTAAACATCTGTATTATTCTGGTTGATCAACCTTGAAAGTATTTTCAATGTCTGAGTCTGAAGTTTCGACACATACTGACTTCCTTAACAAATCCGCTGTCGGAAATGTCGTGTAACAGTTCTTGGCACTTCTTTTCTTGGTCACTATCCGCAACATTTCTCTCCAAATTTATATATTCCATCATTTGTCTTTTGGCATCATTTTTCAAATTGTGTTATTAAAAGCAATCGAATCATTCATATCTTCTCTGTCAGTATCATAACGAGCAGGATTCTTGGCAAATACTTTCCATCATGCGATCTGTTCTCTAGTGAGTTTTTTTTTCATACGATAGCTATTTTTGTAAGCCTTGTATTCTCTTTGCTTAGTTCTTTGACGAGGCACGATTTACGTTATATTTTTTTTAAAGAAAAAAGAGATGAAAGTAGCACCGTAAAACTTAATCGTGGTAAAATTCAATTTAGACCGCAACCTCCAGTCCCGGTCCAATGTTTGGGAAATCCTTGGACCGCTGGTAATTATAGAAGTTGGACCGCGACCGCAAATAATAAAAACGACAAATGATTAAAAAAACGTGGTTTATTGTAATTAATAGATGATCCGTGCAAGAAATGGAAGGTCTTATTTGGGAATCTGAAATATATACAACGTCCAACAGATACAACCTTATCGAACCTGTCAGACAAAAAAAAAACCCGCTTTTGTTGAAATCTTAGAAAAAGTTAGAAATTACAATTTTGATGAAACCGTTATTCAATTTATCAACGAAAGGACCATTCACAAAAATAATCTCCCGCTGTACTGTCTCCGCCATTATACTACAAGAGAACGAGTGCGCTTAGCAAATGAAAAGGATTACAAAGACTTTCCTGGTGAGGGTAAAGAATTCGCTGCACTTGACTCATATGTCGGCAACAAAAGAACAGCTAAAATTTCGTTAAGGGAAACAAGACTTTGGAAACGTTTTTACTGAAACAAAACATGCCTGTTATGCTGGTTCATAACTTAAATGTCTCTCAAGGTTGGTTTAATGGCACTATTGCAGCAGTAGAATATATGGAGGAAGAAAACATATGTTTAAGAAAACGCCTGCCAGATGGTAGTGATTCCATATATTGGATCCAAAGAGTCAGCCGACAAGTCTCTAATACTAGTTACACAATAATACAGCATCCAATCGTTCCCGCTTTTGCCTCCACTATTCACAAATCTCAAAGCGCAACGATCGATTGTGTGGGAATTGACTTAGACAACATGATGTCTCATGGACAGCTTTATGTAGCCATGTCAAGAGTGCGAAAATCGGAAGACTTGTATTTTTTTGGTGCTGATATGCCCTTATCTGTAAAAAGAAAATTCGGCGCTGACAATGATGCAGTTGAAATTATCAGAAATCAAAAATCAAAAATCTAAGCAGGTAATTCTTTATCAACTCATATCAACTCATATCAATCTTTTATATATATATTATCCCAACTTAAATTATTTCTTCATTACATTATAATTATACATATATCTTAACGAAATGTTCAAAATAAAAACATTATAATTATTCCCCTTGAGACAGCGCCATAAGCTTTATAAATGTCGGTCCTCAATAATTGTAGATATCATGGATGGTAATGGCAAGCCACTGGTAGAGCATAGTCCACATAAAATTCAGCTATTAGCTCTTTGATAACCTTACTAAGAATCTCCGATAACATACAGAGTTAGGAGAAATAGCCCAACGAATGAACAGGTTCAAAGTCCGTAATACAGTCTCAAAAGATAATCGTCCAAACCCTTTTGGTTTTTTTTTTTTTTTTTTTTTTTTTTTTTTTTTTTTTTTTTTTTTTTAGATTGAAAGCCATGAAGGAGCAACTAAACAGCACGTCTGTGGAATCGATATTCTTTGGAAAACTTTCTGATAATATCATCAGCTTCCAATACATCGTTACCCTTGCAGTAAGCGTCAATATATCTATAAGCACGATTATAAGATCGTCTATTGATTTTATGACCGAAAACAGCCTCATCATGGTAAAGAAACTTTTCGATTCTTGACTTCAGAGTGTCAAACGAGTAATCACATTCTATTCGTGCAAATCCTTTTGCTGCACCCCCAATGTCTTTCAATATAATCGCACTCGCAATGGTACTTGGGGTATAGGGTAAAAAGGTGACCAGCCTTGGACTTTTTGGCCTCCAGCATATTCTTCTGTGGCTTGAAGTCAGGTTGTTGTGACAACAGGTATTCGGCACAGCAGCCAGGTTTGACCTGAGGGTTATGCGGAGTACCTCTGACACAAAACCTTCTCAGAGGCTCATTTATGCCGAGCAGGCCACGTTCTCTCAACAGACGGAGAGTTCCCTTAATCTTCTCACGTTTCTACAGAGATAATGGTAATAAAGATGTCAGTTCTCTATATATTAATATTATACTATCAAATTTACTTGTGCGTATTGATACTTTTCGACAAGTGCATCAGTATCACACGCCTGTCCTTTGGCACGCCGTCTGTTTATCTCCTTCATAGCGGCATCCACGTTCATAGATTTCATGGTACATACCATAAAAGTATAGTACAATTCCATAGGCGGAATATTACACGCACTAAACTTTCTCTTTGGCATTTACGTAATGTCACATGCGGAGATGAATTTAGATCCTCACGTACTCTTGTCTTTACTTTTTAAGGCAGCAATTACTTCATAACATATTTATTTAAACAGACATTACGTATAACATTATATCATATTCCTCTAACGCGTCACATATATTATCCGAAAGCCATCTAATCATTTAGTATAAATACCTGTAGTTTTTTGCTAGTAGAATTCCCTAATCTAAATTTTCTCGGAATAAAAGATATACACAGTTCTAACAGTATTTTCTTTTGTTACCTTAATTTACATTTTTATCTCCATCCTAAACATACATAAGTGGTATCCCAAAACCTATACAGGGTAGAAGACAGTACCTAGCTAGTCCCGGAAGTCATCCTCGAGACAACAAGAGCATCGTCCGCAAAGGCTTTATGGTTGGAGCTCTGGTCAAAAGCAAAGATTCCAATGTAATTAGGATGTAATTCATTAAAAAGATGAATTACATCATGTAATTGAGGCGTCAGATCTCTGTTTGTTCAATAACCATCGCCGTTACTGTTGCCAGGGAAGAAGATGACTCTTGATGTCAAATTGACACCATTGATTGTACCTGTCATTGTTCCGTGGCAGGGACACATGAATGAACTGATCATAATCGATCTTCCTTGAACTTTAGGAAGAATCATGGTTTCGTTCTTTTCACACCAAAGAGTGACTTTACGATCATTTGAATAAAAGATTGATTCGTCGTGAGTAATGTTGCAGTTGAAGTATAATAT